ATAATAATAACTAAATATTGGGTTTGATGTATTAATAGCCAAAATAATGCAAATATTTTATCATAAGTATTCTCTCTTATAAGAACATTCTTGAATTAAATACCTATAACAATAAATGTGCCCTAGAAGTACAATCTATATTAGATAATGTCGAATTTATTTACATATTGAGAAATCAAAACTTTGTCCTAGTTAGTATGACATAAATCCCGTCGAAACTAGTAGTTGTGAAAGCGTTTATTTTAACGAAAGTTATTGCACAAGTCTAATCTAGTCTTATATTATCTTCTCGTCGACAGTCAGGCACTACTTTGTTGATACAAAAGTTACTTATAATCTATGTAATTATACTTTTTGTATAGAAGTAATCAGATGTGGTACTTTTACGTGACAAGGGCTCGTACTCAGTAACAAAAAAGAGTGAAAGCCACAAAGCTTTGTAAATTTTAACAAAAATAATTTATTTCCCTAAACAACAATATAAAAATTAGTAAATGGGACTAACAGTTGATGAATATAATCCAAATATGAGTCTAGGAATAAAAATACAAGTCCTATAACTAAATAGTCTTATAAGAATTCATTTCGAGTCCCGACGACGTTCAAATATGAAAAGCGATGACATCAGACGTAGTTCAATATATGAATAACAATAATTCCTCACTTGACTCATATACTTTTTCCCGAATAATTCCAGAATTGATTTTCTTAAATATCTTTCAGAATTTTTTTATAAGAAAGTCATCTTGTTGAGTGTCCAGGAAAATAAATTATTGAATCCAAAAATCAGACAAAGAATACAATATTCTGGCAATAAATTAAAAACACCTTCACCTTGTTTTTTCGAGGTTTTAAATGACTATGCCTAAACCAATTTTAAGAATGCGTATCTATACTCAAAACATCACTTCCAATCTCGCGAGATTGGTCATGTGGTTTCTTGCTACACTAGAGTTATCACGTTGTCCAACATAGACCGACTTAGAAGCAAATCATATAAACGATTGTTTACAAAAAGTGATCATGTAAAGATGCTGAACAATCATTTTTCTGTTGATTTGTTACCAAAATAAAGAGGAACTCAATGTCAATTCTCATTTATTATTATTTCTTCTTAAATAAACAAAGTTTGTGCTAAAATGATAACTCACTACTAAAAATAGAATCTCGAATCAGAGAAAAAATATTCATTGCAATTGAAAACAACAAAACAAAAATAAAATTAAAAGAATTTTAAACCTTACATAAAAGCAATTTAATCACATATACGTAACAGTACACATTACAAGCTAGAGAGGTCTATGGAATAGACTACAGTCCGACGAAGCTTATTCCGCGAGATCCTAAACACTAGTCTTTTTATAATGGGGCTGTGGGTGCGCGATTTATGAAAGTAACAAACTTATTAGCCTTTAAACCATGCTGTTTACTTTACGAAATAAGAAGGGTTTACAAATACAGTATACTTGACTAAACTGGACACATTTGGGACATACTTCCCATTTTTTTTAAATGAACAGTTTATAGAGGTGCTTCAAATGTAATCCTGGTTCAGTCTTGACCTAAGTAAAATACCATTGAGCGGAGCAGATTTGAAGATTTGCTTGTAACAAGGCGGCTCGACGAATCAGTTTGTACCTTATTCATCTTTAAAGTGCACTAGTACTAAAACAAATTAGCATACTTTACATCACCCCTCAACCATGTAGATTTTTTTATATTTACCTCTGTAGCAGACACATGTAAACACATAAGCAATGTGGACTGCTCATTTGAAGCCCAAGTTACGCAAACCTGTGTTCCATGAGATTTCGAACGCCAGTGTGTGTGTGTGTGTGTGTGTGTGTGTGTGTGTGTGTGTGTGTGTGTGTGTGTTATAGCAACTGCACCATATTCTATGAAACAGACCTAAATGGTGAGATTATATTTCTGGTTATTCACCGATAAGTACGAAAGTCTCTAAACTAACGCGATCACTGCTATTCACTCGATCAGACGTTTATAAGGCTATTCGCTTACCTGTTCAAAATAAGATTTTTCTTGTCGTTTATCCCTTTATTTATTAGACCTGAATATGCATACAATTACACACTTAGAATGGGAGCCTTCTTACCTGACCGACTCAGAATATTGTGATCTTTTGTAGCTCTTGGTATTGCACATGTTTAACATTACAACGTATTTCTTATTGCATCAGGCAGATAAAATTAAGATAAATTTACCAATTGTGCACTAAAATCCAAGCAAACAAGACATCCTAAATATTTAAACGACTTGTAGGTAAATATAAAGTTATATGAACCAGTAAACCTACCATATTCAGCTTAATTTTCACCCCAACCCCCAAAAAGGGTCAATAATAATATAATATAATTCTGGACGGAACATCTCAATCATATGCTATGCAAACGTCGACGTCATACTTTTCAAGGAGAAATTTTCAAGGATGATACATTTGCGGTAGCAATAAATATTTTGTCTTCCTTTATTTTGACATGCTGTAAGATTTTCATTGAAATAACATGAATTCACTCTGTGCGGAGAGGTGAATGATTTATTTGAAGAGACAGTTATACTCTCAGATTGCTTGATTAAGCTTAGGCTACTATAATTATGAGATGAGGCTGATAAGTTTCTCTTGGCTTTGCTTTTGATGCTAATTAGTTAATTCTTGTTTTCTGGATCGGTGATTCATTATCGAAATATTTAAAAAAAATAATATTTAATTACATTTAATAGGTGTCTTAAGAGAAACAACTGTTAACTACCTACCTTTAAATCTCGCATTATTAGAATCAATCTTAACAACTGATTTACAAGGGATATTTTTAAACATTGCCAATAATAATCCATAATCACAAACATGACCCACTTTCCACCTGATTAAGTAATAGTCGAGACGCAATTAGTGCCACCATGTATATGCAGTATCACTAATTATGTTCAGAATATATTCTTTCTGGTGTTGAAAATTACTAATTTGAATGATTTTCACACGTTCTGCAGAGACGTTCTGGGAATTTTCTCACGCGTCTTTTATCGCTTCAGAATCACAAGAAGACTGAAAATCTACACTTGTACATTAACAAACAGAAATGTACCAAAGCATCACTCTCGGACGACCATCGAATGACTCCAATCCGGCGAATTAACCTTTACATTCACGATTCTGAAGCGATAAAAGACGCGTGAGAAAGGTCGAATCTAGCAGAGGGTTGTGGTCACCGTTGCATTCATTGTGTTAATGTATAATACCGTTAAGGTGATTTCATGTTGACCTAAATTTCGTCGTGTTTATTGATAAAACTGCAGACTCCTGTGCTTTTAACTGACGTGATGTCAACTATTCCGGATTTAGGACAAACGAGGCCCTGTGCTAATTAAGTTATGAGGACCCTTACAATGAAACATTCATCGTAACATTTTATTTTGCCAAGAAGATTGGGCCCTAGCCAACAGGGGGTCCTGTGCTTAAGCACACGTAAGCCCAATGTTAAATCCGGTACTGGGTGTCACCAATCGCAAACTTGTTCAAAAACGTGCACGTGTTGACGATTATGTAGACTTACTTTCCTAGTTTATTGCTTCAAAATTGAGACTGTACATCCTCGAACTATACTATCACCATTACGCAAATTCAATCTGTATTTTTGTTTGAAAACTAACCCATGTATTGACCGACACATGTTGGAAAACAAATAAATCATTTCTGCAATATACACTCCTTACGTATCTCGTAACCAAATGGAGCTAAATAAAGATATAGGATCGGTTATCTATCTTGTTTATTCATCAAACGATGCTATTTTATTCCATACAATTAATCAAAGGAAACACTATAATAATGAATACTTTAATTCTTTCCCATATGTGAATACTGGGTACCGATCATACATCACGTGGTATATGTCCTTTACATAGTGTATGTGTAATCTTTGTGTGTAGTGTTAATATTTTCAACACTTACCCATATTCTATTTGTAATCCTTTATACAATAGCAATAATCTAAGTCCTTTACATCTAGACTATTTGTAATCTTTTATATAATAGCAATAGTCCAAGTCCTTTACCTCTAGACTATTTGTAATCTCTTATATAATAGCAATAGTCCAAGTCCTTTACCTCTAGACTATTTGTAATCCTTTATATAATAGCACTAATCTAAGTCCTTTACCTCTAGACTATTTGTAATCTTTTATATAATAGCAATAATCTAAGTCCTTTGCCTCTAGACTATTTGTAATCCTTTATATAATAGCAATATTCCAAGTCCTATGCCTATAGACTATTTGAAATCCTTTTGTACAAAATTTATGCCGAAAGTCTTTAACCAAAAGACTAATTATAATTACAATATAATTGTATTTTGCCTTGAGACAATACAAAATTCAGTTTAGGAACACACACGATTTCTAAGTACCAGTCGGAAGACAAAAGTGTCAGAAAATAATTTTCAAAATAGCGTCGAGCTTTTTAGACTATGGACAAATAAATATGCAATAAGTTCACTTTGTATCAAGACTGATATACTGCAAAAGTAACAATGAATGGCATGAGCTCTAGCAATAACACAAAATACATATATTACAAATAATACGTTTCTAATGTAATTATATCTTTGTGGTCCGACGTGTAACTAAAAATACTACTACTACTACTACTACTACTACTACTACTACTACTACTACTACTACTAATAATAATAATAATAATAATAATAATAATAATAATAATAATAATAATAATAATAATATAATGTGATTATGTGATCTGATTATGATTTATAACGTAGCTTTAAAAAATTTTCAGTCATATCGCTATGATGTCTGCAGTGTCGCTGTTTATAGTGGTGTCTAGCACTGAGACATCATGCCGTAGACATATAGCATGATGTCCGAACAAGTCACATTATCCTGAAAGCAGGATAATGTGACTAACACAAATCTATTAATGCTGAGCGTCAAGCGAGGCATCTGTTAGTACCATTTTTCTAAGTCATTGGCATGGCTCTACCGAGGATCGAACCCACGACCATTCGCATCTGAGGCGGATGCTCTAACTACTAGGCCACCATAGCGAATAATAATAATAATAATAATAATAATAATAATAATAATAATAATAATAATAATAATAATAATAATAATAATAATAATCATGAAGAAGAAGAAGAAGAAGAAGAAGAAGAAGAAGAAGAAGAAGAAGAAGAAGAAGAAGAAGAAGAAGAAGAAGGTGAACTTTCAATGACATTTCCTTTCCGTTTAATTTTAACTCACCTCTGTCCACCAACGGTCTTTAATGTATTGACTGATACTGAGACTGATAGTGAGACTGATATTGTGACTGATATTGAGACTGATATTGATACTGATATGGAGACTGATATTGTGACTGATATTGCGACTGATATCGTGACTAACATTGAGACTGGTATTGAGACTGATATTGTGACTGATATTGAGACTAATATTGAGACTGATACTGTGACTGATAAATGTGACTGATATTGAGACTGATATTGTGACTGATATTGAGACTGATAGTGTGTGAGATAATGAGACTTATTTTGAGACTGATATTGAGACTAATATTGTGACTGATATTGAGACTGATATTGTGACTGATGTTGTGAAAACCTATAAATGAAAAATTGAATGTATTGTGACATTTTTCTTCCCCAAGTAATACAAGCAAAGTAAATCAACTGCCTGGAGTACTATATCATTTCGCTCTGTCGATGGTGTGGGGCACATAATAATTGTGTTCTTGCGAAGAAAATGAAAATTACTAGAACGTGTACAGATCATCAGTTCAATAATAATAATAATAATAATAATAATAATAATAATAATAATAATAATAATAATAATAATAATAATAATAATAATAATAATAATAATAACTTTCAATCATCTTTCTTTTCATTTTCTTTATCTTTCTTCTTTCTTTCCCAAAAAACACTTTCCTTAAGTAATAATATATGCACTCGTTCAACATCAGGGTTCCTGTCCCAGTTTGTCATTTTATTAACAGATTGCAAACATGCGTCGTTTAGCTTTCTGGCAACTAAATTCAGTATAACAAATAATAACACATGGGCCTGAGATCATGCATCTGGCAGACATCTGCATAATATCAAAATGCAATAGAAGATTGCCTAGAAATCTCATTAGTGGATATATGCACAAAATTATTTCGTTGTTGTTAATAAAGCAACTGCTATAGGGTTTTTCGCATCTTGAACTGTTCGTACAAATCTGATCGCATATTAGCATAATGTGCTCTATACGGAAAGGACCGAATTTCTTAGGGAAAGAACCGAATACCATGACGTTTCCGTTCAAACCTAGTTAAAATGGTTTAAACAGTTTTCGTAGAGATGATATTGTGTGATTCAGATTTTAATATCTTCATATATACCTTAACTGTTTCCAACGTAGATATACAGGAAACCCACTAAGTAATGGGTTTTTTTTTCTGTCCATCGTGGTCAAATTATGTGCAGCAGTTGTCGCGAAAACGTTATGAACGTTTCTTATGTTCCCTTATCTTTAAAACAACAGCAACCATATTTGATTTTCGATCGAGTACTTTTACACAGTTAAATCCCTTCATGCCAAGTGACTGCCATGTAAATCCAATCATGCGCTGAATAGTGGGATTCAAACTAGCAAAAAGAGAACAAAAGGAGATTCAAACGTTTCAAACCTGATTAAGATTCAAAGGTAATGTAAACCAATATTATTGAAATAATTTATTCTTTATTGATGGCAAACATACATGCTTCTAAACATGTGTTACGGAAAGAAAAGTACAAATCATGTATACTAAAGAATAAAAATTCACGTGCGCCAGGAAATCTTTTAAAATTATAGCAATATCTCCGATTTAATTTCTCTCTCAAGCTGAAGAATGGCTCACAGATCAAGAAAGTTTCGTCATTGTTATTAACTGCATGTACTATTATTTCAAAAATTGTTTATTATTATTATTATTATTATTATTATTATTATTATTATTATTATTATTATTATTATTATTATTATTATTATTATTATTTCTTGCAGTAGTGTATATGTATTGTTAAGAAACTCATCTGTAGCAAGAGTATCATAGTAGTAGTAGTAGTAGTAGTAGTAGTAGTAGTAGTAGTAGTAGTAGTAGTAGTAGTAGTAGTAGTAGTAGTAGTAGTATGGTATTTAACGCCATTTCTCAGCGAATGATAGGCTATTCATTGCGGTAAGTAGTATAACAAGTGGAGGAAGCAGCCGGGAAAACCCGGTAAGAACCACTTGCACACGGGAAAGTAATGACAGCTTTCTGACATATCCACATAGGCCGAGTCCAGGACTTGAACCCACGCGGACAGAGGTGAGATGGCAGTGATTGGTAAAGGTGAGAACTTTAGACAACTCGGTCATCCGAGGTCTCTACCAGAGTAGTAGTAGTAGTAGTAGTAGTAGTAGTAGTAGTAGTAGTAGTAGTAGTAGTAGTAGTAGTAGTACTAGTAGTAGTAGTATACAATTATTTAATACTACTGCTAGTATTTGTACTTTTGAAGTCTATTCAGATTTTGTGCCTAGAATAAACAAGATGGCATTGAGTATTCAGAGTGGTCTAACTTTCAAAAAGAGATCAGCGACATTTATGGTGAATGTGTGTAATACGATATTCAAATTTAGGTTCAACACTTATCTTATTTATTTCTTATTGTAAACAATGAATCTTTTCAATCATATTGAGAACAACCATCGTTATTTCAATCAAATATGACTGTGCCGCCCGATCTGTTCAGAAAGTGAGATTTCGATGATAGTGTACGGTAATATCATTATTTTATTACTTGTTAACAACATGTATACACGATGTGCGTCATCGTGGTGAGCATTACACATCCTGCATATGGTCGAGACATTTTCCTGTTTTATCTATACTACAACTCACCTTAATAAACTAGATACGTTTAGTTGGCTGTTCTTAATATTTTATTCAAAACATGACTAGGCTGTATACGACTGTCTTGAAGGACACTATACACTGAAAGTTGATGTACGTTAGAAATATGTATCGTAACGCATGATATTTTTTGACACTAACTGTACTTTACCAGAATTTATGCGTGGCATTAGCTGGGGAGAGGATGCACTTTTTAAATTTGTTCCTGCCTCTTTACTAACCCAGAGAGATTCTTTAAATTCATTAACATTTGATTACATATAAAATTGTGACGATCCTTTAAGTTCTTCTAATTCCAAGGATTGATGGGGCATCGTGAAAAAAAAACCTAATTTTTGAAATACATTTCTTATTTATTCTGCTGAATAGCAGAATGGAACCATCAGGTTCTAAATCTCTCTTAGAGCTACCGACAGCAACGTTTTGAACCATCGACATAAAACTCTTTCCACCTATTTATGTTGTTAAACTTCAAATCACACTTTTTGTAGTCTGGTGGGCAAATTTGAAGTCCACATGCAAAATTTCTTGCTCAGTTCTCCCGGTCAAAAAGGCTTCAAAATTAACAATAAAAATGTTGTTATTTTAAATGTGTTTGTTGATTTTTATAATGATATGAACAAATTTCTCAGGCACCAAATCAGATTCATACTTTCAATGTTTTTTCACATTGTTTCTAAATAATGCACAAGAAACACTACCCTTTTCCATTTGTGTACGGTACCATGGATACAATCTGAACATAGAAACGTACTGTGGGTATTATAAATGCTGGAGCATCATGAAAATTACTTGGAATCCTAAAGCTAAATTGCTTCCTTAGTAACCAGAACAGCAAACATGAACAAACTCTCTCTCTCTCTCTCTCTCTCTCTCTCTCTCTCTCTCTCTCTCTCTCTCTCTCTCTCTCTCTCTCTCTCTCTCTCTCTCTCTCTCTCTCTCTCTCTCTCTCTCTCTCTCTCTCGTAGAATATTCAAGTATTTCCTTACAAAGATAATATTTTCCACCTGTACAATACTCCGTACGCAGTGATTGTGTTTTTCTTGTTATGTTGACCTTAATTTATGTACTCTCCATTAAGCCTACTTTCTTTTCGTATAGGGCATATACGACCCTCTTCCACTTCTTTGTCTATTTTCTTTCGTGTGTCCCAATTGTGGTAAAGGTTTTTCATCTCATTCTCAACAGACACCGCCATGTTGTCTTAGGCCTCCACTCTTCCGTCGTCCCTCATGTGTCCAGTAAAGTGCTGTCCTTACAACTGCTCGTACATCTTTTCACACCAGATGCTCGATCCATCTCCAGGGTCTTCTCATGATGATAGTGGCCATGTTTTCTTGGTGTCTTCGCACAAGCAGATCATAGTTGTAAATTGTAATCGGACACATGGTAGGTATTATCCTGCCCTGGCTAGTGGTGTGGAAAGACGGCACGATCACAATCTACCATGCGTGTCTGCGTGAGTTCGAGTCTTAGGCTCGGCTAATGTGGATACGTGTAAAAGCCTTCCAGTAGCTGTGGGTCGGTGGTTCTTCCTGGGGTTTTTCATGGTTCTTCGTCCAAAAGTTTTACGGGCCGCCATGTATAGCCTATCTTGTGCTGTAAAAATGGCGTTAAATCCAACAACAACAAACACTATGTCGTGCGCCAGCATTCCGATTTGTGCAGTAACGTTGATAAGACACAGCTTTGGTTCAGCTTAAGCCTGGTTGGTGTACCATACTGTGTTGATCTCCTATTCTGAGCATTGACACGAAACTTTATCTTTATCATTTACTTGCTCGAAGAAGGTATCTTCATTTAGTGAATGCTGGAAATGTTTCTGTTGTTGTTGTTGTTGTTGTCATTTAACGCCATTTTTCAGCACACGATAGGCTATTCATGGCGGCCAGTATTAATGGTGGAGGAAGAAACCGGGAAATCCACGGAAAGAACCACCGACCCACGAGAAGCTACTGGCAAGCTTTTTCACATATCCACATTCGCCGAATCCTAGACTCGAACCGACGCTGACAGAGGTGAAATGGTAGTGATCCGTAACGGACAACGCTTAAGACCACTCGGCCACTCGGGGACCCGGAAGTATTTCACGCCATATTAATTGTTACAAAGTTGACATAT